AAGTCCAAGACCAAATAAGATTTTGCCTGTTAAGCAGGTGAATAAATACATATAAACGTCACAGGTACGTGCACGTAGAATCGTGGAACCGTTTGGGTTGGAAAAGGCCTTTCGGATCCCCGAGTCCCGTCGCTAAGCTAAAGCCACCACCTCCGCCCCAAACCAGGGCCCCGAGCGCCGCGTCTGCGGGGCTTTGCGATCCCCCCCGGGGCGGGGACTCGGCCCCTGCCCTGGGCAGCCTGGGCCAGCGCTCGACAGCCCTTTGGGCGCAGGAATCCTTCCCGAGATCCCACCTCAGCCCAGGTCCCATCCAGGACCTATTCCTTCTCCTGTCGCTTCTTCGTTGGCAAAGAGCCCGACCCCCCCGGCCTCAGCCTCCCTTCAGGCAGCCGTGGAGAGCGCCCAGGGCTGCCCTCAGCCTCCCCCTCTCCAGGCGGAGCCCCCCCAGCTCCCCCGGCCGCTGGATAACGAGGACCGTATATCTGGGGGATCATTTACAGCTGGGGTTGCATACGAGCACCAGAGCCCTCTGATGGACGTATGGAACGTATAGACCTCCCTACGTCGTGCTGATGTGCTCTCTCTGCTTTAGGATTTTACTGGACTCGGCTTTGGACGAGTCAGTGGCCCAAGTTAAGGAGTACATCGCCAGGTAAGCGCGACCGCGCGACCGATCTGAACCTCTCGGCGCCGATACGGCTTCGGACGCCTCTCCCCAGCGGGTGTTTTGGGGGTATTTATCTTATTTAATAGCTGTTTTTTCTCCGAGCCCGCACTTTGCAGAGGGGTGCTGCGGGGCGCCGACCCCTTCTCGCCTCTCGCCCCGCAGGTTCGCCGCCGAATGTCAGTCCTGGGATCAGCTCTTGCTGCGCTACCAGGAGAGCGCCGAAGAAATGTCCAGGTGTGGATCGTTCCCCCCCATCTTACAGCTGTTGGGTACTTGAAAAGAGAACGGAACGTCAGAACCTGCCTCGGATGACGGCGCCAGCGCTGCCCGAGGGATAAATGACTTTATTTCGCAGGCAGCTGGCGGAGTGCAAGCGGAACGGAGGCCGGGCAGAGCCGCGCGGTTACCTCCGGACCTCTCAGGCCGCCGTCCTCAGCAGCAAACCCAACTACCAGGAGATCCTGGATGAGCAGGCGGAGGTCCTGAGCTGCGTGGAGCTCGTGGTGAGGCGGTCTCGGCTGTCGGAGGCGAAAACCGTTCTGCCCCGGCGCCGATTTCACCATTTTTCAGCTTTTTTGTTTTGTTTTGTTTTTCACGCGGCGCTCGTTTTGCAGCTCGACGAACTACAGCAAGGGGTGAAGCTGCTGCAGGCCTTCAGCGAGGACAGCCGGCAGTACCTGCAGCGCCTGTCGGAGCAGCTCGGTAAGCGGGAGGCCC